TTACAAAACATGTAAGGAATGCAGAGACAAAGTAAAAGCAACAAAAGAGTTAAGGAAGGAACAGAAGAAACGAATACAACCCATGGAAATACATAGATTAAAGCCTTTAATACCATAGTTTTACTATACTTATAACATGTAAGATCTTATATGTTGTAATTATAGTATAGGTTTCCCGTATAAGCCGTGGTGGTGCTTTCCTACATAGGCCTTTCCCATCCGCATTTTGCCATCCAATGACACACAGATTATTTTCAAGATTTGGGTTAACGGTTTTAATTCTCCCTTTTCCATTGGTTAACCATTTTTCGGGGAGTGATAATTTATGTAGTATGGCGGTGGGAGAGCTTAAAAAATACGCAGTTAGAAGACACTTAAAGACATAATGGTAAATAGTAGTATGGAAAACTTACAGAGATGCAGTAGGTGCAGAAAACAGAAAGAACTAGGAGAGTTCAAGGATGGGAGAAAAGTATGTAATTATTGCCTTTCTACTGCTAAGACTTATCAACAAAATAATCCCGAGAAAATGGCGGAGAAATGTCATAAGTATTATGTCAATCATAGGGACGAGATTTTAGAACAGAAGAGAGAAAAACGACTTTGTGATCTTTGCAAAGTAGAAGTAGCTAAATCAGAATGGACGAAGCATTTAATCACTAGTCGGCACAAACGATATCAAATGATAGAAGCCGGGGAGAAGTTGGAAGCCGATCGTGGCGATTCGTGGTGGTGCGATGTCTGTCAAGTATTTTTAGCAAAGAAAACATCCAAGTGTAGCCATAATGGATCGAAAAGGCATTGTGCATTAGCAAAGCCACAAGGAGTTGAGGAGTAAATGGGTTGATACATTTGTTTTGCGATGATTGTATCAATGCATTTGGGATATTTATTAATTTAATGGGTGGGATTTTGCGCAGTATGGCGGGTGGAGTGGGGACAAAAATGCGCAGTATGACGGCGGGAGAGCACCTGTCTAACTCACCCACCCCCACCCCACCCCACCCCACCCCACCCCACCCACCCACCCACCCCACCCCACCCACCCACCCCACCCCACCCACCCACCCCACCCACCCACCCACCCCACCGCACCCCCACCCACCCACCCACCCACCCCACCCCACCCACCCACCCCACCCCACCCGACCCACCCACCCCACCCCACCCACCACCCCACCCCACCCACCCCACCGCACCCCCCACCCACCCCACCCCCCACCCCACCCGACCCGACCCGACCCGACCCGACCCGGCCCGACCCGACCCGACCCCTTTCGGACTTTGCCGCCCTGGGCCGCCTGCCACCAGCGGCCGACCCCGACCCGACCCGACCCGACCCGGCCGACCCGACCCCGGCCGACCCGACCCAGCCCCACACCCACCCCACACCCACCCCACCCCACCCACCCACCCCCACCACCCACCCACCCCACCCCCAACCCCCACCACCCACCCACCCCCCAACCCCCCACCCCCACCACCCACCCCCCACCCCATCCACCACCCACCACCCACCCCACCCACCACCCACCTCACCCCACCCACCACCACCCCACCACCCACCCCCAACCCCCACCACCCACCCCCACCACCCACCCCCACCACCCCACACCACCCACCCCACCCCACCCCACCCCACCCCACCCCACCCCACCCCACCCCACCCCACCCCACCCCACCCCACCCCACCCCACCCCACCCCACCCCACCCCGCGCGCGCACGCACGCACGCACGCACGCACGCGCCCGCGTTCCCGCCTGGAGTTCAGCTGCGCCAGCAAGCTCGCAAAGCTGGAGCTCATGGGCGCTCGATTCTTCCCCGGATGAAGCAGCTTGGGGGTGGCTAGGAAAGGTGCGCAAGGCCTGGCAAAAGCAAAAATGACGAATGTTCACCGGAAAAAGTGAAAAAAAGAAAAACAAAACGACGACGAGTTACAATCATGCTACAGGCAGACAAGTAGATTGATAGACACATAGATCTAGAAGGGTGGCCATTCCAAAGGAGTTCTCTCGCCCCCGCACGGCTTGAAGCGGCTTGCAGCGGCTCGGCCGGCTGAGCCAGAACTGCAGGAGACGTTCAGTGAGCCAGCTAGAGTGACATAACCCCACCAAGACGAAAAGCAAAGTTCGCCCAGGCGGCGTTTAAGCCACCCAAGCGAAAATGCAAAGAAAAGTTGCGCAAAGAGCCCATGAAGGAAAATTAAAGGATTCCTGTCTCCACCAAATTCACTGGGTGAGTCGAGCGGGATGTTGGCACATTTTGCAACCTACGTCTAAGGTTTAGTGGAAGAGAGCTCCCTTGGTTCGATGGGCCTGTCGTGTTTGGGGACCAAAAGCAAGACTGAAGCCATTTTTGGGGGGTCCACTAGAAAGGAAGACGAGACATCCCCATTGATGATTTTGTGGAGTCCTTCAGCCTGTGGGGTTCCATGAAGGCTTCAACCTGTGCCCAAGCTGCTTGCCAAACCTGCCAGTGCGGGGCTGAAGCTCGGAACTGAGCAACTGAGTTTGGGACATGCGATTGGCTTCCTCAAATGGAAACCCATCAAAAGGTGGTATCATCATTGTTTCCCTCGGCCATCCAAAAAAAGGTGCCCCCGAGTTCGGAAGATCAAAACCAATTCGTTAACTTCGGGGTCCTGTCATTTCCCATCGAGCCGCACGCTCTCGCCCAAGCCCAACTCTCCTGCGACTCGCCCCAGACCAGCAGATCGAAGATGTTGAGGCCCTGCGTGACGTCCTCGAAAAAGACCCTTCAGTCTCCCAGCAAACACCGTCCAGACCCCCACAAACCGCGGAAGCGCACACACCCCTTCCCAAGAAAGTAGTCTTCCGAAAAACGGCTTGGGCACTTCCATGTTTGTTGGTGGGATCGTATCAACTTTTTTCGGAGAAGACTCAAATCCAATCCCTACAGCTTCTGGTCACAGCCGCTCCCTTCTCCCAGACAAATTGGTGTTCTTTTTGTTGCACCCCTGAGAGAAACCAACCCTTTGCGGCTCCATAAGCTCCATGTTATAAGTGGAAGCCACTAGAACCCCTCGAAAAAAGAAGAAGACACACAAACAAACAAACAAACAAACAAACAAACAAACAAACAAGCAAGCAAACGTTCAATCAAACAAACAAGCCAAGAGCGGTTGCGCTTTGGTTTCCCTTTCAAAACGGCACGCTTTGACAAGACACACCACCTTCAACTGTCCTCATCATCGCGGTCCAGCCAGAAGGAGCAGAGCCGATACTGCACGTCGGTCTTGTAGTACTTCCGCGTCACCTCGGGCCACGGAGCTCCTGTTCGTTGCAAAAAACCCGTCCAATCTTCTTTTCTTGCTTCTTTTTTCTCAAAAGCCCTAAGGGTCGTGATACAAAAAAAAAAAGTACAGAGCTCAGAACTTCCCGTAGCACTTTGGGAATGCTGTGGTTTTTGACTTGCAGCGAATGTCCAGGGTCTGAGAGGCCTCGGTTCGCTGGCTGGGTGTTTGAGGCCCCAGTCAGCATCCAACGGATCTCCAGAAAAAAACCTGGTACACGACCTATCCAAGGATAATCAAAGTGGACAGGGAGCTGACCCAACAGGAAGGTCGTCTTGGCTCCCATGACTGTTGAAGGGGGGGTCAACAGCCCGACGCCAAACTGCACGGAAGAAAGCGTGGTGGCCCAAACCAACCATGGCTGAGAGTCAAAAACAGGTAAATGGAACCCCGGTAAATGGAAACACGGACTAAAATCTGCTGTCCCTGGTGGTTTAATTTTGACCAGACCAATCTGGGGCCGAATGAAGGGAGTGGAAGTCGTTCAACTCTGCCGCCTGAGCGAGACCTCCACCAACCCCCCATATGTCAGCTGAGAGACGCCAATCTCGCCTTGGTGCCGAGGAGCAAAGCCAGAAGGGAGAGACAGTCGATTCCGATTTCTGGGACGGGTAATTGAAACATACCGGAATGTGTGGCTTCCCTCTGGTCGCTCAACCCCAAAGGAATACTTTCCAAAAAGATACGTGATCGCATGTGGGTCAGCGCAAAGGGAACGACCATGAGTGCTCAGAGCACGGCGTGGGGGAGTCGGCCCATCTGAAGCACGTTTGCATCCCCCCCCCTTCTGGCTTCCCTTTGGAGTCAAACCATGCTATATCCCATATGGACACGGTAAAAACCCGTGAATCCACTGGTAGCGGCTAAATGGGAAATTTAGGCAGCCCCCCCCCCCTGCCAAATGAACCATAGATTCCTCCAAAGAAAAGGGGACAATTGGCAACATTCACTGGAGTTGTTGTTTTTGAGGCTGCGAGTCCCTATATTTCCGTTCAAAGGAACAACCAATTTGAGGGGCCCCCGCAAGGGCCAAGTTTGGACCTCCCATCGTTATGGCTACAGACATCGCCCCCCTTGGACCAAATGGGGTTGAACCAAAAAAACGGTGGGTGACCAATTTTGGGGGTGGCAAAAGGTCCATCTTTGTTTGTCAACCAATGGGGTTGAGAATTATCATGATAATGACTGTACAAATAGGATTAAAAATAATAGTAGCAACTATATATATATATATATATGTACAGTGGACCATGCGTGTGCAACATACCCAAAACAACAAAACGCGCGCCGCAAACCACCCACGCCGGCCGGCGCCGCTAGCTTTTGCTCTCCTCACGTTCTGGCCGCGGCTTTCTGACTCAGCCGCTTCGCCGGGAGCCATAGCCGACGGACCGACGGACCGACGGACATGGAGGGAACGCTGGGTTGGTTTAGGTTTTTAGGTTTAGGGTTTCCCTCCTCAAGAAAACAACGACTTGCTGTGCCTCCTAAACGATTCATTTTTCCCCACCATGCACGCATTTGGATCCGCACAGGAAAAATGACTCATGCAACCATATTCCTACGAAGCAAGGGAAACGGGTCTGAGTGGTTTTGACACCCATGAGAAACCGGCCCTCGACATGTTTCTTTCGCGTTTCCCCTGGCTTCCAACGGCGGAAATCCTCAGATCGCACACCAGCTGACTTACCACCGGAGCATGGCTCCGCTCTCACAGCGCCAGCCCTCCTGCGACCATCTGGCCTCCAGCCCGGCGCGAAAGGTGCATCTGCTGCTAGCGGGGATCCGGCTACCAAAAACCTCCTTTACCGGATTTGGATCCTCGAAATCAGATGTCGGTTTGTTGAGCTGCTAGTTCCCCGCAGTGGGCTCTGACAACAAGACGCATGATTGTCCTTGCATGCAAGCCCCAAAAAAAGAACTGTTTGTTCCAACGTGATTAATTAAGGCCCTCTGGGTCAAGCGACTCCTTTCTCATTTCCCATCGCTTCCTCAACCCGCCTCCAGCCCGCAAACACAAAACAAGCCTTCAGGGCCAAGCAGACCAAGTGCTCAAGCAAACCGGGGACTTCCCTTCGGAATCCAGAAAGTCACCAAACGAGGTTCCAGCCATGGTGAATTACAAGGAACACCTCCCTGCCATTTTTGGTTGAAATACACAAAACCACCAAGTACAAAACTCAAGCAAAGCCTCCAAGAGAGGCTTTTGCTTCGGGGGAATGCCAGGAGAGAATCACTTTGGAAAAACCTCAAACAAAAGGTGACGCCATGTGCCACCCCTTCTTCGTGCCACAAAAGCGGTCCCTGCGAACGAATTGCGCAGGGCTCAGGCCGGTGCCCCCTCTTCCGACAAGATCAGCGGTAGACCCAGCTGAAGGTAGTCGATCTGATACCTGTCTCAAACATCGGACCCGGATGGGGTGATGCTCTCTTGGCCCAACCAACAGCCTGTCCAAGTGGGGGAAGCCACTTGGCAGGCGCAAGGGTTGCTCCGGCCATTTGGTGAGGGGCAAAGTACCCACCTGGTGGCGGGGAGGGCTCTGAACCAAGTTGCCCGAAGAAAGCGACGACTAACACCAGAAAGCCAGCCCAGCATGTGAAGCAAAGGAACCCTCTCTGGCGATTCCTCCACCAGCGTGCTTTCTGGGCTCCATGCGGCAAGCTGAAAATTGCATGCCGAAGCCCTCAACACAACAACTCTGCACTTCTCCCCAAATGACGTTCTTTAGGTCACGCATCCCAAACCCTGAGCCCCAGCATGGGGCGTCACAACACCCAATTTTCTCAGGTGCCCAAAATCAGGCTGAGACGTTTTGAACGCAACTTGAAAAGGGAATTGCCCTTCGATTGGGTGGGTGATGTCCATCTTTTTGCAGAAAAATCGTAGCCCGCTCTAAATCAACCGCAAGGTGCTAGCTGAACTGAATTGAGAGGCCCCTGTCCAATGTCTTTTGCGCAAGCCGAAGGGAAGAAAGCTCGCACACATTGCTTGGGTGGGCACTAGGGGCGATGCGGAGCCCGCAAAGACGAGGCACGTCCATGATTCTTGAGAAAGAAAAAAAAGATGAATAAAACAACAACAAAAAAGGGGATACATGGTCTGCTGAGCTACAAGGAGAGAGCAGCACAAAGGATGGTGATGTTCCTGAAGAACTTCTGAAAGAAGCTCCCTGCGTCCCGCGCGTGCTGGTCGGGCTGGGAGCCGAACACCTTCTCCACCTCAAGGCCCGGGATTCGATTTCCCGGACGGCAGATCCTTCCACCAACAAATGTGCAAAGAACCTGGAGGAAGCACACCCAAGATCATGAGCTCCCTTTTTTCCCAGTCATGAGAGTTTTCAACCAGGGCGGGCGCACTTAGACCCGTCACTTGGAGGATTAGATCCCCCAACGCATTCGGTGCCCCATGCTCGGTTCCCAAAATCTGCAGAACCCGTCCCCCCTGCATAGCTTCGCCGACCAGGTGCCCCCTTCCCTTTGAGAAAAGCCGTCGACTTTGCGCAAGAACTCTTGAACTTCTATTCTGATGGTTGTTTGGAATGAGAGGAATCCTCAAAGGCTTTGTTCCAAAAGGTATGTAGGGTTCTCTCCGCCCATTTGCAGCCAATGTTTGCAATTCATACCTGACTTAATTCCAAAAAAAAGGGGCCAAACTCTCAACCCCAAGTTTCCCCTGATCTCGCCATATTGCCCGATCTGTCGGTTAGTCGAAGATTTCCTCGCCGGGGCGCATGCTGCTGGGTGACGTTGGCCATGCTCAGCATCTCGTAGACCTGGTCCTTCATGGGTCGACCGTGGAAGGCTGAGATCACCCCCAGGAAATCCAAGGTCCTAGGCCGAGTCAACCTGAGAAAACACAGCTGAACTGAACCGCCGGCTGCTTTGTCCCTTCTCGAAAATCATTTGCCGAGTTGCACACACACACACCAAAAAAAAAAACGCTCTGCCCAAACCTGACCCACCCCCAAAAAACGACTCACGGATGTGGGGATGATTAGCAGGGACGACGGCAGGATGCCCGGTCCTGGTGTCGTGGAACTGCGGGCCGCACATGGCCAGGCATTCCACTTGCGGGCGCCAGTGCATGTTGTCGCAGGGCCCCCGCATCTTCGCGTCTCCTGAAAAGCAAGAGAGAAAGGTGTCGAAAAGGGGAGGGAAGGAGCCGGACCTCCTCAAGGCTGATAATTCGAATGAACAATGCACGAAATGCAAACCGATCGTTTGTATCTCACCAAGCCCCGGCAAACCAAGTTGAACCAAACAAAGCCCCGGCTGCGCTCCTTAGTCCCCACAAAGAACCGAAGAGCAAATTCTTCAAGAAGCCGGAAGGGGAACAAAGTGGTTCGGCTACAAACTTACTTGGTGGCCTCCAGGGGGAGGGATATAACAAATGGCTTCCAGTGCTATAGGTCTCACATGTCTGATGCACGCCCAGTGCCCAAATTGACTTTCTGCCCAGGGTGCTCTGAAAAGACCCAGTCGGCACAACGGGTAGAACTTTTGCATCAGCCTGAGAAAAAGGACCCAATGCCAATCTTCTTCCCCGGTTTGGTCAGCTCATCCCAGAACCGCCGCCGCTTTTTTCGTAGAACCTCCATACAGCCCAGTAGGACCACCTTACGAAGGCCGATTTTCCGGGGAACGGGTCACCCGATCCAAAGCTTCCGGCCGCGGTTCTGATCACCCGCCGCTCAAAGGCTTCGATCAGCTGCTCCCCCGTGAGGTGCTTTCCGTAGGCCGCGAAGCAGCAGTGCCGGCCGTTGTCTTCCAGCACCCCGTCCGGTCCAGGCACCTCACGTCAAAACCAGCGACGTGTGCCTGTGTGTGTGTGCGTGTGTGTTTGACAAAAATTGCATCCTTTTGGACAGTCCAGGCTGAAGTCATGGCAGGGAAGAAAGACATCCGAGGAGTTTCCCGTCTCGAGAAGGCAACCAACCGGCGTACTCCAAATGGTCGAGCCAACTTCGCTGGACGGTGAAGAGATGTGACCTGCCTCTATACCCCGCAATGCCCTCCAGAAACCTGTAAACATCTCCCCTGCAACATGCGTTGCGCCCCTCACTCGGACTACCAAATTCCATCACCTCCGCCCTGGGCCCTGGGATCTAGGGCCAAACATGGCCAAACCCTCACCCCAGGCGCGCACTTGGAGAGGAAGGCTGAGACGTACCGCTCCAAAGGGTCCCGCACAAAGGCGGCAAACCTGCATGCTTCCACGAGCTCTACGAGTCCAAAATTCTGGGGACTTGGATGGGGTGGAACCCGCAAAATATGTGGTGGTATACCCCGAAACCTGGGTTCAAACACAACTTTCAGTGTTGAGGAATCAAAGGTATGAAGCCATGAAAGGGAGGTTTCCCAACGTCTCTCTACGAAAACGAGGGTTCCCCAATCCAAACCACAAATCCAAATAGCAAGCCCGCTTTAGTTCGTGTTTGTTGGTACCCAAGGGTACTCTCTCTGAGTGGTCCCCCCTCCAAAAAAAAAGCGACCTCCTTGGCATTTTGGGGTCCAGAGGCAACATGTGTAGAAATTGCTCACTTTTGTGATGCCAACACAAGGCTTAATGACTCGTTCTGAATTTACAGAGGGGGATAACCAACTTCCTTGAAAAGAACTGGACCCTCATGGTAGATTCTCTTGGGGAAAGCCAGAATCCATATCTTGAGAATTGACCGCCCTGGCCACGAAAGGAGACTTCTGTGCCTCCAGCCGCGGCCCGGCTCTGGGATCTTCTGCCCCACCCTCGGCCATGAGCCGAGCGCCAACCCTTCTTCTCCCACCCCCGGCACCAAGATTTGTTTTGTTTTTTGCTTAAACCAAAAATTGCTTGGATGCGGCTGGAGGGTCGGGAGGGGAAAAAGAGTCGCGGCGTGCAAGCCGGGGCCTAGGGCTCCGAGCCTTACGAAACCCCTGAGGAGTTGCTTCTGAGAAACTTAGAGGGTAATGTTGACCCAGGATTAATCCGCCGACCCCCCTGCCTGCAAGGGGAAGGCGCTGGGGGAGTGTTCGTTTAGCGGTGGAGCGTGACTGTGGCAGCCTTCTCCCTTCCCTTTCGCCCTCGCCCGTTCAGCCCTGTACCTTACCAGCCTTCTTTCTTTCACTTTTTTCTTGTTCTTCTTCGTTTCTTTCTTTCCTTTTCCTTTCTGCTGCCGGCGCACTCCTTTGGTTGGTGCTCGCTGTGGACAAACGAGTGCGGCCTGGAAAAGCGCGGGAAGCGAAGCTTTTGTGGCCGGCCGCTCCCTCTGGACCGATAGCCTTACTGCATATTGGACTCAAACGCGACGTTAGGCAAGGCTGCCGGCGCACTCCTTTGGTTCGTGCTCGCTGCGGCGAAGCGAGTGCGGCCTCCAAGCGCGCTGGACACGAAGCTGTTCTTGCTGGTTGCGCCCTGGGGACCGATAGCTTTCTACTTTCTATATAGGATTCAAAAGTGACGTTCGGCACCCGGGTGTGATGCCACTACACCAAGTGCCCCTGAGCTGAGGAGGCCGAGAGTGCTCAACTACCTGCTGGGCACAGCTTTCTGGTTGGTGCTCGCTGTGGGCAAACGAGTGCGGCCTGGAAAAGCGCTCAAGCACCTGCAGGGCACAGTTTTCAGCGCTGAAGCTCTGTCACGGCCCGCCCGTCAAGCAAGCAAGCAAGCAAGCCTGAACCAGCCAAAAGCCGCTGCCAGAACAAAAAAAACCTGGGTCGGCGGCACTGGGCGGCAGCCCTTAAATCCGGCCACCGGACGTGATCGGGCCGCAGGCCAAAGCCCGTTAGGGCTTACCTGAAGATGCCGCCGACCATGCGCAGAACATGCCCGCCCCTTATAAGGGGCGAAGGATTCGCGGATTGGTTTAGGCGATTTTTATAGCATCTCCCCGCAGCGCCCAAAAACGAGTATTTTTAGGGGGTGCCTAATACTGGACAACACCCCCAGCATTGCCAGCATCATCCAGGATGATGCAGATGATGTTATGCATACTGGCGATGCGGGTGATGCTGGGGATGTTGTCCCCTAAGTCGGGCCAATTTTGCCGAAACCGTGCAACCTGAAAATCTTAAAATCTTAAAGTGGATGGAAAATGGCCTGGATTGAAATCTCAAAATCCTAAAGTCTTAGATTCTTAAAATCTTAAATTAAAATCTAACAATCAATCTTAGAATCTCAAGATCTTAAAATCTTAGAACTTAGAATCTTAAAATCTGAAAATATAAAAACATCCTAAAGTCTTCGAATCTTGAAATCTTAAAAACCTTATGTCTTAGAATCTTGAGATCTTAAACTCTTAAAATATGAAATTCCTAAAGTCTTACACTCTTAAAATCTCGGAATCTTAAAAAGCTTTAAAACTTAAATTATTTAAACCTCGAACAATTGAAATCTGAAAATCTTAAATTATTAAAATATTACCTTCCTTCAATCCGGGCTATATTTTAAATTCCTTAAACTCTTAATCTTGAATTTTTGAAATCTTGAAACCTTAAGATCTTAAGATTACAACCTTAGAAGTTAGAATCTTACAACCTGAAAATATAAACATCCTAAAGTCGTCGAATCTTGACTTCTTAAAACCCTCATGTCTTTGAATCTTCAGATGTTCAAATCTTAAAATATGAAATTCCTAAATTCTCAAAATCTTAAAATCTCAGAATCTTAAGAGTTTCAAAAACTTAAATTCTTTCAATATCGAACTATTGCAATCTGAAAATCTTAAATTCATAAACAAGTAAAATATAATAAAATTCCTGCAATCCGGGCTATATTTTAAATTCATTAAACTCTTAATCTTGAAATTTTGAAGTCTTGACATCTTAAGATCTTAAAATCTTAAATTACGAAAGTCGCCAAATCTGAAAATCGCACAAAAATGAAATCTTAAAGCCTTCGAAATCTGATACTGGATGGAAAATGGCTGGGCAATGGCCTGGCTGTTGTAACCTTCAAAAACCTTAAATCTTTGAATCTTAAAACCTTAATTCTTAAACCATTGAAACCTTAAATTCCGAAAGTCTTCAAATCTGAGACCCTTAGAATGTCAAAGTTTTTAGAATTTTAAAATCTTAACATCTACTAATCGGACTTACAGGAAAGGGAAGTGACAGAACGGGCAGGGCAAGGTGCCCGGTGGCCGGCTGTGTCGCGTCAGCGTGTAAATCCGGCCACCGGGGGGCTTCAGACCCCGTGGTCCGTGATACGGCCGAAGGCCTAGGCCCGCAGGGCCTACCTTCAGGTATAAGGCCGTCCGCCCCATGCCGCCGACCCACCGCCGAACTTTTGCGCTGCGCCAAGCTGGGCCCACCCGTATAAGGGGCGAAGGATTTGCGGATTTGTTCAGGCGATTTTTGGCGGCTTTTTGAGCATCTCCCCGCGGAGTCAAAAAACGAGTGTTTTTTGGGGGGTGCCCATAGTGGACAACATCCCCGGCATCACCTGCATCATCCGCATCCTTGGCGGACAGTGATGCGGATGATGCCGGTGATGCGGGGGATGCTGGGGATGTTGTCCCCGAAGTCGGGCCAACTTTGCCGAAAACGTGCAACCTGAAAATCTTAAAATCTTAAAGTGGATGGAAAATGGATGGGAAATGGCCTGGATTGAAATCTCAAAATCCTAAAGTCTTAGATTCTTAAAATCTTAAATTAAAATCTAACAATCAATCTTCTCGAGATCTTAAAATCTTCGAACTTAGAATCTTAAAATCTGAAAATATAAAAACATCCTAAAGTCTCGGGGGATGCTGGGGATGTTGTCCCCTAAGCCGGGCCAACTTTGCCGAAAACGTGCAACCTGAAAATCTTAAAATCTTAAAGTGGAAGGAAATTATTTTCCTGGATTGAAATCCCAAAATCCTAAAGCTTAAAATCTGAAAATATAAAAACATCCTAAAGTCTCGGGGGATGCTGGGGATGTTGTCCCCTAAGTCGGGCCAACTTTGCCGAAAACGTGCAACCTGCAAATCGTAAAATCTTAAAGTGGATGGAAAATGGATGGAAAGTGGCCTGGATTGAAATCTCAAAATCCTAAAGTCTTAGATTCTTAAAATCTTAAACTAAAATCTAGCAATCAATGATAGAATCTCGAGATCTTAAAATCTTCGAACTTAGAATCTTAAAATCTGAAAATATAAAAACATCCTAAAGTCTCGGGGGATGCTGGGGATGTTGTCCCCTAAGTCGGGCCAACTTTGCCGAAAACGTGCAACCTGAAAATCTTTAAATCTTAAAGTGGATGGAAAATGGATGGAAAATGGCCTGGATTGAAATCTCAAAATCCTAAAGCTTAAAATCTGAAAATATAAAAACATCCTAAAGTCTCGGGGGATGCTGGGGATGTTGTCCCCGAAGTCGGGCCAACTTTGCCGAAAACGTGCAACCTGAAAATCTTAAAATCTTAAAGTGGATGGAAAATGGATGGCAAATGGCCTGGATTGAAATCTCAAAATCCTAAAGTCTTAGATTCTTAAAATCTTAAAAGAAAATCTAACAATCAATCTTAGAATCTCGAGATTTTAAAATGTTCGAACTTAGAATCTTAAAATCTGAAAATATAAAAACATCCTAAAGTCTCGGGGGATGCTGGGGATGTTGTCCCCTAAGTCGGGCTCCCTAAGTCGGGCCAGCTTTGCCGAAAACGTGCAACCTGAAAATCTTAAAACCTTAAAGTTGATGAAAAATGGATGGAAAATGGCCTGGATTGAAATCTCAAAATCCTAAAGTCTTAGATTCTTAAAATCTTAAATGAAAATCTAACAATCAATCTTAGAATCTCGAGATCTTAAAATCTTCGAACTTAGAATCTTAAAATCTGAAAATATAAAAACATCCTAAAGTCTTCGAATCTTGAAATCTTAAAACCCTTATGTCTTAGAATCTTGCGATCTTAAACTCTTAAAATATGAAATTCCTACAGTCTTAAACTCTTACTCTTGAAATTTGGAAAACTTGAAACCTCAAGATCTTAAACTTACAACCTTAGAAGATCGAATCTTACAATCTGAAAATATAAACATCCTAAAGTCTTCGAATCTTGACTTCTTAAAACCCGAATATCTTTGAATCTTCAGATATTAAAATCTAAAAATATGAACTTCCTAAATTCTCAAAGTCTTAAAATTTCAGAATCTGAAAAGCTTTCAAAACTTAAATTCTTTAAATCTCGAACTATTGCAATCTGAAAATCTTAACTTCATAAACAAGTAAAATATAATAAAAATCCTTCAATCCGGGCTATATTTTAAATTCCTTAAACTCTTAATCTTGAAACTTTGAAGCCTTGAATTCTTGAGATCTTAAAATCTTAAATTCCGAAAGTCGCCAAATCTGAAAATCTCCGAAAAATAACATCTTAAAGCCTTCGAAATCTGATAATAGATGGAAAATGGCTGGGCAATGGCCTGGCTGTTATAACCTTCAAAAACTTTAAATCTTTGAATCTTAAAACCTTAATTCTTAAACCATTGAAACCTTAAATTCCGACAGTCTTCAAATCTGAGAACCTTAGAATCCTCAAAGTTTTTTGAATCCTGAAAAATCTATAACATCTACTAATCCGGACTTAAGGGAAAGGGAAGTGACAGAAACGAGCAAGGCAAAGGGGCCGGTGGGCCGGCTGTGTCGCGTCAGCGTCGAGTAAATCCGGCCCGGTGGCCGGCTGTGTCGCGTCAGCGTGTAAATCCGGCCACCGGACGTGATCGGGCCGCAGGCCAAAGCCCGTTAGGGCTAACCTTCAGGTATAAGGCCGCGCGCCCCATGCCGCC